CTAGCTTCAGCAGCTTTTATGGACTATTTACACAAATAGAGGGTTTCTGCATTGGTTGGGGTAGTGAATTTTCACACCAATGAAATTATATATCCTTGAAGTATAAGACAATTTAGTATAAATATTTAGTTGGTTGTTTAATTTCCAGATTTTGAGTTGTAGAGTTCATAACTTTGAAAGTATAAAATTCCAGTAATTCCCATAGTAATTCCCTTCACCTTGATAACTTGAAAATTTGACCACAGATTTTATGTATGTACGTGATCGTCCCCTAAGTAAAACCTTAAACTAATAAATAGGACTTTAGCTTTTTTTTTTTTTTTTTTTTTAAGAGAAGAGGAACCTACTACCTCCTGATGCAGCCCATTCTACTTAGTGGTTAACTAACTTAGTGGTTAACTATAATTTTTAGAAAGTGTTCTCTGACATCTGGCCTGTATTTGGCTCTGCAACTTCTACTCATTGTTTCTGGTTCTGCCTTCTGGGGCCAAATAGAACAAACCTAATCCTTCTGATACAGGGCAAACAGCCTGATAGCTTTCATATATTTGAAGAGGTTCCCCCTGAGTCTTGGGGTGGGGTATTGGGAGAAGAAGACGACAGGTATTTTGCATAGCTGCCATATTTATAACACTACAGGGAACTAATAAACAATAGTTTTGGCATAATTTGCGTCATCAGTATAAGGGAGGACAGGCTGTGACTAACATTGCAAGTTAATTCAAAGAAAAAACTCACTAAGCACTTCTTGTGTACATGGCTTGGTGCTAGGGGTTGGGTATATAAAGACAAAAAAAAAGGAACAATCTTTGCCCTCAGGGAACTTACATTCTAAGGGAAATCATAACCTTATTCTGAACCCTGAGTTGGACTTTTTGTAGCTTTGGTGAGAGTGGGTACCTAAACCTATTCTGTTTACTTTTTCCAGGGCTACTAAAAAGTGATGGTAGATTTACATACTTATACCCAGTAGCATATAATAAAAAATGACAGGTCGACATTTTAAATGTACCAACCTTGAAAAATAATAAAGATATAACATGCATTCTAAATATCTATGATTTTCCAGTAGCTCCTACCACAATGCAGATTGTAGCCCCTCTGTGGTTTCACGAATCTACCATTACTTGGCAGACAACCCTGTAGTAGTGAACCTACTTGGTGAGGCTAGTCTTTGGACAATATATGCAAAGTTTTCCTTTGCCCATACTCAAAGACTTTCTAGTGTGGTGTGGCCTGCCAGAGCTCATGCTTAACTGGTTAACCTCCATGCTACAAAGTGATAACCAGAGCTGTTCAACTCTGAGTCCCCCTTATTTTCAAAGCTCACCACTCCACAACAGCCACACACCAGTCTATATCCATCCAAGATAGTACTTTGGTGAAGGAAAAGGGTAGTATGTGTAAATATAGCATATGCTGTGGTTTTTAATCATTGTCATATTATAACTACAGTGTATTTTTGTAGAGTTGGCATATAATAAGAATAGAGGAAAAAACTAAATCTAAAGAATTGTAATATTTTTATGTAGTCTCTTTGACAGCAACTGCTTCAGAATGTAATTGTGATTGATTGCATCATAATTATCCTTGTCACTTTGGCCTCTTCTGGGGAAATAATAGAAGAGATTGCTTGACTTTTTTTTTTTCTTTCCCTAACAATGTTCATCTGCCATATTAAATGCCTACTCTTGCAGCATATTCTTCTAGGTGTTAGAAGAGACATAAAGTTTAACCTCTCACAGGGATTACTGTGCAATAGCAAAAATATCTACATAGATAATAATATACAACAGTATTTGGAAAGTGCATCTATTTAAAAACTAAGTGCAATGCGAAGTCTAAAGAGTCAGGTAATATTTTTGGCTTAGAATGATGTTACTGAACTATTGTCACTTGTATAGGTTTTAATTTCTTTAGTGGTAAAGATGGATTGATGTTCTATCATTCTCATATCTCCTTACTCAGAAACTCTCTTCAGTAGTGGCACTCATTTTTGAGACAGCAGATAGTTATGGTAGATAATGTGGAATAAAACACGAAGGACAAAAGAGTTGCATTAGATGGTGTTAAGGTCCCTTTCAGCTCTAATGATTTGTAATACAACTTATAATCTTAGCTTCATTAGCACTGTGTTTGGGTAGACCTTAAGTAATCTAATTTTTGATTGCTTCACTTTATGTTGCCAGATTTCAGGTTTATGATTTCCAAGCCTGGCATGGTTAATAGTAAGTTTTCTGTGAAGTACAGTGGGACAAGGACTGCATTTTACTTATGGTGAAAAATCCTGCTGTTTATGATTTATCAGAAAAAAAGACAGTATTTTACGTACATTATACTTTCAATGATAGGACTTGTCTTTCATTTGGAGGATATGTTTTGTTTATGGGACCTTGCTTCTTTGCTTTGTCAATCTTCTCTTTCTTGGAGTGTGTTAGTAATTGTTTTTCTTTGTCGGGGAAGGAATGTACAGGCACACACACTTGTGAGTTTAATCTACATTAACACTTACGTTTAAACAGTCTACAAAATAATCATACCTTGATTTGTAGAGATTGCCTTTCTGAGTTATAGATGCTACACTGAAAATTTAGAAATCAGCAAACCAATCTGAGCTGACTCCAGTACACCTCTGCCTCCTTCTCAGATGTACATATATATATATATGTATATATATACACACACACACACACACACAAAACCAAATCCCTGCATTGACTTTATAATTATACATACATGTGCACATACATAAATGTACACATAAGTGTATGTATGTGTATAAATATATGTATCTCATACTGTACCCTGAGCATATCACCTGTCTATCAGGAGATGGGTGATGTGTCATTTTGATCCTTTGGAATCATGGTTGGTCATTGCATTGATCAGAGTTCCTAAATCTTTCACAATTTGTCTTTACAAAGCTATTGTATAAATTGTTCTCCTGCTTCTACTCACTTCTCTCTGCATAAGTTTATAAAAGTCTTTCTCACTTTATTCTGCATCGATTTATACAAGTATTCCTAGGTTTCTCTGAAATCATCCCTTTCATCATTTCTTACTGTACAGTAATATTGCATTATGTTCATATAGTGTAATTTGTTCAGCCATTCCCCAATTGAAGGGCACCCCCTTAGTTTCCAGTTCTTTGGCACCAAAAAAAAAGCTACTATAAATATTTTAATACATATAGTTCCTTTTCCTCATTCTTTGATCTCTTTGGGGATATAGGCTTGGTAGTTGTATCACTGGGTCAAAGGTTATACACAATTTAGCAACTTTCTGGGCATAATAAGAAACTGCTTTCTAGAATGGCTGGACTGGCTCATAGCTCTACCAATATCAATAATATGCCTGTTTTCCCTAAGCCTCTCCAAAGTAAAAACTTTTTAATTTTACATAATCAAAATGGTCCATTTTATCTTCTGTGATCCTCTCTACCCCTATTTAGTCATGTACTCTTTCTCTTTCTGTAGATATAAAAGGTATTTTTTTCTTTGCTTCTCTTATTTGTTAATGATGTGACTTTTTATATCTGTCATTTAGGTCTTATTTCTGTAAACTGAGTAAAACCTTTAGATTAGTGCTCCCCTACTTCGGGATTTTAGATTTTAGAGCTTTCAAATAAATCCATAAATCCATATGTGGAACCAGATATAAATTTAAAATGTTCATTGCTTTAATAAGATGTCTCATCTATGAAAACTGCAAAATAACACCAGACATCTCATTAAAATGACTCAGTGGAATATCTAAGCAAGCATAGCTTATATAGCCCAAATATCTTAATATATATTATAATTTTTCTTGTGATTAATGAATTATAAACTAATTTACAACTAACCAAATTCATAGTAGCTTATTGTTTTCTCAGCCAAGAAGAGATACTTAATAGCACATTCATTCTGTGGGTCTGTGAAATTTTGTTCAAAAGGGATCTTAATGGAAAAGGTTGGTTACCTTGCTCTAGGATAGGTATTAGTCTCCTTTTAAAAGTTGTTTGGGGTTTATTTGAGCCCTCTTCCCTTCCTCCCATTTTGGCAGAGTGAATGTGTCTTTTGCTGCTATTATAGATGGCATGGCGGGTTGGGGTCATCCTGTCCTACATCTTTGGAGATTTAGTGTTTTTTGTCTTAGAAGCCACTAATACAGTGCATTGATATCTGACAAAGCAATTATTATACTTTGGATAATTGTTTCTAATAAATTTACCTAAACTTTTTGTGGTAGCAGGAAACTGGAAACAAGTTTGGGTACATGTTGATTGGGGAAAGGCTGAACAAATTATGGTATGTGAATGTAATGAAATATTGCACTGTAAGAAATGTTGAGTATGAAGATTTCAGAGAAGCTTGTACGAACAATGTAAAGGAAGTAATGTAATTTAAAGGAATGTAATAGTAATGTAAAGGAAAGTAATGTAATGTATATAAAGGAAAGTAATAGTAAAAGACTCATGCCAGTACATTGACCAATCTTGACTACTGAGGACTGGTAATAAAACAAAACAAAAAACAACATATTTCCATCTTGATAGGAGAGATGGTAGATTACAGCAGTAGAGTAAGTCATGTGTTGTCAAGGCATGTTTGGTCTGTCAACTGGTTTTGCTTTACTTTCTTGTTAGGAGAGTTTTATTGTGGAGGAGGAGGTAGACTACTGGAATATAACAGTGATGTAAAAAAGGAAGCAGAATAACACTAAAAAAATTAGCTTCCTGTTGGCTGTTCAGAGAATCTTTAGAGCCTTATTAACTAGTTCCGGTCAATTAACTTTACAACTTCAAGGATATGTGATTTAATGAGTTCTTTCTGCTAGGCAAGTGAGAGGCATCAGAATAGGACTTTAGTGGAGGCTGGACAGTTAAAGCTATAGCAATTTAGTAAAATGAATAATATAATAAGAAGCCTATGAGAAATATAAATAAGTAATGCTTTCAATCTTGTGCATATGAAAGTAGACTTTACAGTTTAATGTTCCTTATTTTTCATTTGTTTCAGCTCAGGAGAATCTAACATCACCAGTGACTGTGAAACAACCCTCAAATACCGTGGAAGCTGTGTTATCAAATGGCCTGCCATCTGCTAACCACACCAAACTTAGTGTTTCCAACACCAGTGCCCCAGCCCTTGTGCCCTCTTCAGAAAGAAATGAAGTGACCACATCTGTAGTCTCTCCATCACCTACTACCATGCCCCAAATGGAAGCTGATATTACTGAAGATACTAGAATAGAGGAAGAGGAACTTCTTACACTGAACAGTTCTCCGTCTGTGGGCAAGGATGCTTTGGACAATGGGGATTATGGAGAACAAGACTATGACTGGACTCCCAATACCAGAGATGATACTGATGAGCAAATGCAAGAAAATACAGGTTATGCAGGATTTGAACAGACTGTTAATCTGAACAATTTTCATGAGTCAAAATCTTTTAAGTCTCCATCATCAAATATAGAAGAGGAAGACAGCCATTTCTTTTTTCATCTCATTATTTTTGCTCTTTTGATTGCCATTGTTTATATCACATATCATAACAAAAGAAAGGTGAGTTTGAGAATTTTCTTCACCTCTAGCACTGTATGTCAGAATCAAGTTTTTTCCAAATACTGTTGAATATTGAGTTAATTACTTATATTAATGTCCTTGTTGCCTGTGTAAAGTTTTATTTCTGAACAGACTTAGTTCCCCTTTTGGTTCATATGATTAATACTTTGGTACATCTCCATAAAAGAGTATTTGAAATTATAACTATTTTCCGACTAAATTAATTTTAATCAGAAAATGAAACAGTAATGCCAGGAAACATGACTACTCTTGATAGTAACATTTTTGCAAGTGTGAACAAGGTTAATTTGATGGTGAAATTTGAGAATATCTAATCAGCAGTGTGCATATCTGGATTCCAAATTGTGAATTAAATCCTCATAGCTCAGTGGTAACATGTTTATACTTTTGATTGAGAGTTAAATTGGATCCTTAAAGAGCAAATTAAGTAGATTTTTAAAATAATGTTTTCTATATAAACTGTGGATTGGCTATAGAATTCATTTTCTTTAAAAGTATTTAACTTTTTTTTGTCTGAAAATTTACTTTGGCACTTCATTCATGACTTGTTTGATTTCTTTTTTGAAGAATGGGTTTAAAATATCTATTTCTTGTTTTGTTTTTGTATTTTATATTTTTGCAACTCTCATTAATTTCCTTTGAATTCCCAATATTACTGACATATAATTGTGTTAATAGTTTCTGATATTTTTGAAATTTCTGTTGTGAATTCTTATTCATTTCTATTTTAGTAATCACTTTGCTTTCTCTTTTTATCAAGTTGTCAAATGGCTTATTGATTTTTTGATAGTCTAATAGCTTTTAGTTTTGCTTATCAATTCTTTAGTCTTTTTGTTTTCTCTACTTTTTAAGATTTCTTCTTTTGCTCTTGTTTTAGGATTGCTAATTTGTTTATTTTTTTCTAGTATTTTTAGGTGCATTGATTCACTCTATCATTATTATTATTTTTCTCTTTTATTAATGTAGGTTTTCAGAATTACAAAATTTCCTTTGATGACTGTTTTAACTGTGTCCTAGATTTTTTTTTTTGGCTTATATTTACTTTATTCATTGCTAATTTGATTGGGTTATGCTTGTAAGGAGACTAGGGGCTGAATCTGTGATTTCTTGGTATAAGGAACTCCTGGATAAAGAAACTCTCTATTAATCCACCTTCACTGAAACTTATAGTTTTAGAGAGTTGTTTAGAGGACTGAGAGGGTAAATGATTTGCCCAGAGTCATACAGCCAGAATTATCAGAAGTAGGACTTGAACCCTGGTCTTCCTGGCTTTGAGACCAGCTCTTTATTCACTATGCTGTGCTGTCTTTCTGCCTATAAAAGATCATTTATTATATCTTTTTTTATATTTGTATATGATTTCTTTTTGTTTTAGCATATCATAAAGATCTATGGGATGCTCATATGCTGGGTGTCCCAAAAAGTCTTAATGCAGTTTTAAGCTATTAAAGCTTAATACATTTTAATAGCTTAAAACTGCACTAAGATTTTTGGGACACTCTGAATATGTCTATAATTTAATATTCCTGTTTAAAGGTATCATGGGTCATTCAAGTTATTGAGCAAAGTTCCCTTTTGGTTTATTCTTTAGTTTTGCCTAACAGAGGAATGTTAAAGTCTCCTTTTTCTTACAGTATGCCCAGCTTTTCTTTTCTTTTCTTTTATTTTTGTGAGGCAGTCGGGGTTAAGTGACTTGCCCATGGTCACACAGCTAGTAAGTGTCAAGTGTCTGAGGCCAAATTTGAACTTAGATCCTCCTGACTACAAGGCTGGAGCTGTATCCATTGTGCCACCTAGCTGCCCCACAATATTGCTTTTTTTTTTTCTTGGTGAGGCAATGGGGGTTAAGTGACTTGGCCAGGGTCACACAGCTAGTACGTGTCAAGTGTCTGTGGCTGGATTCGACCTCAGGTCCTTCTGACTCCAAGGCCCAAACTCTATTCACTGTGCCATCTAGTTGCCCTACAGGTTTGTCTAACTTCATTCTTTTTTTTTTTTTTTGGAAGCAGTTGGGGTTAAGTGACTTGCCCAAAGTCACGCAGCTAGTAAGTGTCTAAGGCTGGACTTGAACTCAGGTCCTCCTGACTCCAAGGCCAGTGCTCTATCCACTGTACCACCTAGTTGCCCCCCAGCTTTTCTTTTAAAAATTGAGTCTGTGTTATTGGGTGCATGTAAATTAATTTTTTTTTATTGTCTATAGTATTTTTTAATATAATATAATTTTCTTTTTTTCTCTCTTGACTTTATTAATTTTTATTAATGCTTTATTTGAAATCATTATTGCAATTCTTATTTTAGTTGTTTGAAGCACTCTAAATATCTACATTTATGTGTGTATACATGAAATTTAGTGTTATGTATATACACACATAGATATTTACAGAGTGCTTCAAATGTCTAAAAATATATACATAGACAAATGACTAAAAATGTATATACAAAATGTGTGTGTGTGTATATATATGTCTATATATATACACACACACATATATATATGCACACACCCATATACTTTCAGTACATAGTGGATTTTGATTTTTTATCCATTCCTTGTGTCTTTTTCTTCTTACTGTGCAATTAAATGATAATTTAACATGTGGGGTTATAATTAATAAGTGTGTGAATTTTAAAAATGAACTATTTACATAAATATATAAATATACATGCATATATAAATAGAAATTTGCCTTCCCTTCTAGGTCAGCAATTAGTCTCTTCCATTTGTTTTGTTTATAATAATCTGAATTGGGTATCTTCCCCTCAACTTCCCTCTCTCCCATTATCCTGACTAATCCCAGATTCCTTGGATATACTTTTATTATTATTGTTTACTCTCTCTTTTGTTATTTAACCTTTCCCTTTCTTACTAAGATAAATCTGTTGGTACCTTCCATGTCAGTGTTATTATATTGCAATGGCCTTTTCTAAGAAGTGTTATTTTCTATTTCTCTCTTACATTTTATCCCTTGAATCACATAGAATTAGTTATTTCTTGATGGAGGAATAGTGTAGAGAAGAAACTGTTCCATAACCCCAGTCCCTGGGATCCAGTCTTATTTTTTGTCTGTTTCCTTATCATTTTTCTCTTTAATGTCTCATGTCACTCTTGCTTTGAACTCTTTCCATGCTTCCTGGTTAGCCAACTACTTTCCCTCAGAGTGTGAGTTAAAACTAAGCCTTCTGAAGGCTTAAAGCATCCAGATCCTTCTCCTCATCCCCATCCCAGAAATCAGTTGCCTTTCCTTACTGTCTCCTCCTTCAACTCAGTTTCACATGAAGCTGTAGCCCTTCATGCCAAGGCAAATATATATAAATGATCCCAATCTGTTCTGTCTTCTCCAAGCAAATTTCCTTTTCTACCATCCCCATTCTGCTGCTTCCTTGCTGCCTACACATACTGCCATCTCTCCCCCATCCTTAAGAAACCCTCGCTTGATTCAACTGTCTTTTGATACCTAATGTCCCCTATCTCTCCCTGCCCTTTGTGGCTAAACTCCTTAAGAAAGTCTTCTACACTTAATGTATGTACTTCTCTTCTTAACCTCTTCTAAACTCTCTGAATTTGGAGATTTTTTTACCTTTATTATTTGATATGGATGGGGGAAACTCTCCCTAGGAAATTTCTCTGAGACGCCTTCTCAAGTTTTTGCCTTTAAATTTACCAAGTGTTGAGCTGAACTCTCCCATATTTTAAACGACATGTTAGGGTATATGAGGGCAAAGGGATTGTACACAGTATGTGGTGCTCTGTATGTTTAGATTATCTGGACTCCTTGCAGTTCCATAAGGTGAACTTTCAAGACTTTCAAAGTGCTGTAGAGGAAATTCAAACACTGATTTGTTTTGTCTTTAATAAAGTGTTATTCTTTCTGTTTTCTCTTCCTCTGTCATTCCCACAGAAACACTGTACCTGATTAGGGGATGAAATGAGAGGAATAGAGGGCAGAAAAAATTCTCCAACTTCCAGAGAACTGGTTAATAAAGAAAGCCCTGAAGAAAGGCACATGTGTTTTTTTCTAAGTGTTTCATGTAGCTAGTATTTTAGTTGATTAGTACAATAAGAACTGTCTTTTAAATTTAAAATACAGTTATAGAAAAACAGTTTTCTTAGCTGTAGAGCAGAAAGATTTCAAATTTTGTTTGTAAATTTGGCTATTTACTACTATTCAATATGTATTTATTTATAAAAACGCAGGTCAGATTTAAATATCAAAATATTATACTAATATAATCTTTTTTTTAAAAGAACAGAAAATATCATTTTATTATTAGAGAGACAGAGGTTTTGTTAATTATTCAAAGCTCTACTTTCTACTTCTATTTAATCATCTGCTTATTTAATAATTTTGTTTTATTTCAGATCTTCCTAATGGTTCAGAGCAGAAAATGGCGTGATGGTCTTTGCTCCAAAACTGTGGAATATCATCGACTAGATCAGAATGTTAATGAAGCAATGCCTTCTCTGAAGATTACTAATGATTATATATTTTGAAAGTACTGTGATCTGAGGTTACTTATTTAGTCATTTTCTTTGTCTGACTTTTTATATCATATTATGCAGATATTTGCCATAAACAGTTGGTACGTAATTGAGAGGTTGACCTCTCATTTTGTCATGGTAATTTGGAGATAAGGGATGAGTATAATTTTTATCTTTATTATTATCTTTATTATTTTTTCAGCTGAATTCAGATCTGATACTGAAAATGTGGAGCTAGATATTATCTTGTGTACCCTGTTTTTTAAGGTTTATTTATCTTGTATCCTCTGAAAGTGTCAGTGAAGCTAGTTTTTAAGTCCCTCAGAATATTTATGTAAATTTTAAATAGTATGGCATTGCTGCAGTAGTCTCTTTGGTAGCCAAATATTGAGTTTTTTTTTAAAGCACAAATTTCTTTGTGCTATCAAACTAATATAAGTGAACATAGCAGATATAATGCCTTGCATTTAAATAGAACTTTTCTTCAGGAAAAGTACTTTAGATATTTTTTAGAAGACTTCTTCAATACTCTTAGGCAATTGGGAGTGCTCAAGTAGGCCAAAATTTCAAGTTAATGATGCACCAAATATATTGAAATTTCTGGTGTGACAGACTTTATGATTGCAATTTCTTCACTTAAGTGTTAAGGAAATGTAATTTATCCTTTGTGTTATTGAATTAAACCTAGAATTAGAAGTTTGAGTCAGATGTAAAATATAAGAGGTACCAAATGATTAGAAGTCATTGACTTCTTCAGGGTTCCAAGGTTGATAGTTCAGTGGCAAGGAATGGATTACCATGAAAAATGTACTTATTAGATGGTTATTTTATAATAAGATTAAGGTGGGAGATAGGATAAATTTTAAGGCATATTGTATTAGACTGTATCTACCCACGTCTATCATATTCAAATTATACCTGAATTAAATCACATAGATTTTTGTGGGTACACTGCCTTTTTTTTTTTTTTTTTTTAGTTTGTCATCTTGTTCACAGATACAGAAAATGACTGATTTTCTTTTTGTGTACCTTTTAGTGATGGTCAGAATTGATCACTATGTAAAGAGAAGTGATTTGAACTGAAGTGACTCATAAGAATCATTGTATGATTTTTTTGGGGGGAAGATGTCCTCAGATATATTTTAAATTTATTAAGCATAGAAATAATCAGTGGGATCTCTTATCTACTCAGATGAAGCAGTTCAGCTTACTTCCTTCAGTTGAACACTTTACTCTCCTAGTACTGAGAAAGTGAAGCACAGATGTCATATATCAGAACTATTTTCTTGCAGCAATTTTTATCATATTTGAACTTGCATCATTTAATATTTTGAATTTTTTAAAATAAATAACAAGAATTTCTATGATGTCACAGTAACTTGTGTCATGTATAGCATTTCAGCATGTAGTTATGTTGCTGTTAGGAAGCAATAATTTAGTTTCACATAACCAGGTCAGATAACTTTATAAAACACTTTACTGTTAATCAGACTTTGTAAAGTGTGCTAACCAGTAAATTAAACTCCTAAATACTATTAGTCATAGTGTCTCAGATAATCTGGAGAAAAACAACAGCTCAGTGACTTGGCTTCAGACTGAGTTTATTACAGAGTATTTTATTCTGTCTAATAGTAGCAGGTATTTGACCTGCTAAATGAGTTTGTTGCTATTGCTTCAGACTCTGACTTGGTTCTTTGTGGGGAAGTGTCTGTAAGTCAGTGTAGGAATTTCTGCTTCTCAACTTCATAGTTTCTTCGGCACAAAGCAGGGGGCCATTCCTGCTTGACTTCTCAGGTCCCTTTTTTTCAGCCCAGGAACACACGTGATAACTGAGCCAAATATAAGTTAAAAGGAAAGCAAAAAGTTCTAAGTAGAGTCTACAAGTTTCATTAAATGAAGAGTATCAGATAGTCAATAAATATCCCTGAAGTGGGGTGAGATGGGAAGAAAGGAAGAGCAAACTGACATGAAAAGAAGCACTCTGCAGCTACTTAGTTAATCTTTATTGAATTGAATTGAGGCTGTCAAAATTGGTACATTTCTACTAGACCATTACATGGAGCAAAACATGTACTATATATTGTGGCATATAAGCCCACCAATCTGTCCCGTATATTATGAATTAATGGCAGTTCTTAAGTTAGAAATGAGCACTCAAATCTATCTTGACCATATAAGTTACTATTCCTCCCCTTTCCAGTTCCTCCTCTGTCCTCATTTGCAGGCCCAGATCAGGTGCCTGCCTGAGAAGGTTTACAAAGAAGACCTAAGGAAAAAACAGCTGTCCAGCAGAAAGTGAAGCAGATATCAGAGGAAGTGCTGAAATCATTGAGTAGTGGTGCTGAGAGGCATGGTGTATCAACAGTGCAAATAAAATTCTAGTTTTGTTATAACTTTGTATTTTGGATTTTTTCCCCCCCTTTTTTTTGTAGAAAGGCACTCATAGGCCAAAGAAGGTGGGTGTTTACAAGTTGAAGACTGTATTGTTTCCTAAAGGAACCTCAAAGTTCCTTAGTAAGACATTAGCTGTGTGTTGTAAACTTTCTGTCCAGGCAAGGCAAAGGGTTGCTATCTTTTTTTTTTTCATTTAAAAAATTAATTATTTTTAGTTTTCAACATTCACTTTTTTTTTTTTTTGATGAGGCAGTTGGGGTTAAGTGACTTGCCCAAAGTCACATGTCTGAGTCCGGATTTGAACTCAGGTCCTCCTGACTCCAGGGCTGGTGCTCTATCCACTGCGCCACCTAGCTGTCTCTCAACATTCACTTTTATAAGATTTTGAGTTCTAAATTTTTCTCCTCCCCCTCCCCAAGATGGCATGCAATCTGATGGAGGCTTTACATGTACAATCATGTTAAACATATTTCCACATTAGTCATGTTGTGAAAGAAGAATTGGAAGAAAAGGGAGAAACCACTAGAAATAAAAAACAACAACAAAAAAAGAAAATAGTAAGTTTCGATCTGCATTCAGACTCTGTACTTCTTCCTCTGGATGTGGATGGCATTTTCCATCATGAGTCTTTTGAAATCTTAGTCTTAGTCTTAGTCTTAGTCTTATTCTTAGATCATTGCATTGCTGAGAAGAGCTAAGTCTATTAAAATTAGTCATTATACAATGTTGCTGTTACTGTGTATAATGTTCTCCTGGTTCTGCTCACTTCACTCAGCATCAGTTCAAAGTTTTTCCAGGCTTTTCTGAAATCCACTTGCTCATCATTTCTTATAGCACAGTAGTATTCCATTACATTGATATACCACAACTTGTTCAGCCATTTCCCAATTGATTGGAACTGAGCCAAATTTATAAGAATGCAAGTCATTCCCCAATTGATAAATGGTCAAAGGATATGAACAGTCAGGTTTCAGAGAAAGAAATTAAAGCTATCTATAGTCATGTGAAGAAATGCTGTAAATTTTTTTTTTTAAGTGAGGCAATCGGGGTGAAGTGACTTGCCCAGGGTCACACAGCTAGGACATGTCAAGTGTTTGGTCTGAGTCCGGATTTGAACTCAGGTCCTCCTGACTTCAGGGCTGGTGCTCTATCCACTGCGCCACCGAGCTGCCCCTTGAAATTCTGTAAATTACTATTGATTAGAGAAATGCAAATTTAAACAACTCTTGAGTTAGCACATCACACCTGTTAGATTGGCTAATGTGACAAAACAGTGATAATGTGGTAAGTGTCAGAGAAGATGTGGGAAAAAAACACTAATGCTTTGTTGGTGGAGTTGTGAACTGAACCATTCTGGGGAACAATTGGAACTATGCCCAAAGGCTTATAAAACTGCATACCCTTTGATCCAGCAACACCACCACTAGATCCATATCGCAACGAGATTATAAAAAAGGGAAAAGGACCCACATGTACAAAAATATTTATAGCAGCTCTTTTTGTGGTGGCAAAGGGCTGCTGTCTTTGCATAGTATGTGAAGGTGGGCTTTGGACAAAAGCAGGAAAGTCATTTCTGCACAGGTGCAGGTATTCTGCCTAATGAACCCCTTTTGAAAGGAAGTAGCTGTGACAGGTTTCAAGCTAGTTGACTCCATGGCTCTTTTCTTACTTACAATTCCAGTCTCCCCATCCTCACCTCACACTTGCCTCTTGCTTTAGGGCTCAGCTAGCCCTAGAGTACTCCTTGGCTCCTAAATCCCCAAATTGCCCCCTTTCCCCACACTTCAGACTTCTCAAAGATCCTAAATTATCCCTTCTGCCTTACTAATCTACTTCTTGACCTCAAAATCCTCATCTTTACTCCGGGGCCCCTCCTGTTCCCAGTCTCTTCCCCTCCCCCTTTTGTTTCATACTCTGGGTTCAGTTCTTCTTGGTTCCCTGCTGGGGTAGAAATAGAAGAGAAGCCATCCCTAAAACCAAGGTGGTCGAATGGCAGGTCCCTAGGTCAGACACAAGATGCACAGTCTTTGCCCAGACAGCAATTTTAAAAGAAGTGGCTATTGTCTTACTAAAGGATATTGAAATCTCTTTAGGAAAAAATGCAGATGATTCTCAGCTTCTCAGCTCAATCCTTATTCTAGGTTCAGGGGCCCAGTGAAGGAAGCACCTGCCTAGGCAGACATGGCTAACTATATTAGGGGGAGGAGTGTGCAGACAAAGTTAGAGGAGGATGGAAGTGCTGCCTGTTCAGTTTCAAGCTGGGAAGATGAATATTATAATATAGGCAAATGCAAGTCAGGGAGTGATTGGGTACAAAGGGGAACCAGACAAAGTACTCTAGGAAGATTTGAGGAGTATAAAAGTGTGTGTATATTTGGAGTGGGTGTTACAGTAGACTAAATGAAGAAAGCACCATGCCATAAAGGAAGAGAAGGATTCAGAAAGGTTGAGAAGAGGAAAAGAGTGCATTCCCAGCCACAGGAAGGGTTTTTGAGATTTCAGGGAGATGGGAGTGTTGTGACTAGAGGAAAGCTAATAGGAATGTGGAATAAAGCTGAAGAAAGGTTTGAATCAGGTAGATTTGTGGAGAGCCTTAAAAACCCATCACATAGGCTATTCTGGAGGCAATACGGAGCTCTTTACTCCTTTGGAGTGAGGAAGTGTCATAGGAGGATGATCTTGATAGCTGTGTAATGGATAGATTGGAATAGGGGTTGGAAGGCGCTGGAGGCAGGAAACTGAATTAGGTAGTATTTTAGTGCAGGCAAGAGGTAGTTAGAGCAGGAACTTTTTGTTGCCGTTCAGTCGTGTTAGTTGTGTCCAACTTTTTGTGACCCCGTGTGGGGTTTTTTCTTGGCAAAGACACTAGAGTGGTTTGCCATTTCCTTCTCCAGCTGATTTTACCGATGAGGAAACTGAGGCAAACAGGGTTAAGTGCCTTGCTTAGGGTCACATAGTAAATGTCTGAGATCAGAGTTGAACTCAGGAAGGTGTCCTCCTGATTTTAGGCCAGGTATCCTATCCATTGTGCCACCTAGCTGGTCAAATGGCAGGAACTAGGGTAATGGTAATGTGAGTAGAAAGGAGGGGATTGATGGAAGTAGAATTGACAGGCCTAGGCAATTGATTATATCCATGGGGTGTAGGAGAAGGTAAAGTCGTAAGATGACTGTGATGTGAATCTTGGTGACTGAGGGTAATGGTGGCATCAAAAAAATAGGAAACTGGGAAAAATTGGGAAACTGGGAGATAGGGTTTAGGGGAGATGAATCAGTTTGGGACATTTCAATATGAGGTGTTGGAGGGACGAGTTGAGTTCAGTTGAGCATAGGTACAAGGTGAATTCAAGATTGAGAATGGGTTGATAAATCTGGGGGTCATCTGCTTACAGGTGACTTAATAGGTGATTTAACCCAGGGGAACAGATGATATCACCAAGGGAGAGAGTATAAGGAAGGAAGGAAAAAGGCTTGCACAGTCTTGGGGATATTCATGTTTAGAACAGTAGGAGATGAATATTGACCCAGCAAAGATTTAAAGGAGTATTCACACAAGGAGAGTAGTGTAATAGAAGTAGAAGAGAATAGAACAGAAGAGAACATAAGAGGTAAAGTGTGTGTTTAATAATATAGAAAGTTGTAGAAAGGTAAAAAAGAATAAGGATTTACCAACTATAGACCATTGGCAACCTTTGAGAGCAGATTCAATAGAATCGTAGAATCAGAAACCAGATTGTAAGGGGTCCAATAGACCTGATAATAATAATAGATCTGCTGTTTTCCAGGGACATATATCTAGGGTGTGACAGGAAATCCCTTAAGCCTTGTCAAACCTGATGAATACTACCCATTGCTGGTTATTTATGTGGGCATGAATGATATAGCCAGAAAACCTAGAGACAATTGCCAAGGAACGTGAATAACATTTTGAGTAAGAAACTAATGACCTTATAGGCATAGAATCTCTTTCTATCGCTGCTACTGATTAAAGAAAAGTGCTTCAAAGAGGGAAGCAGTTTGGAGAAGTGAATTGGTTAAGACATTAAGAAGAAAATTTTGGATTGAGACAGGTAGGTAGATAGAGCACTGGGCCTGGAGTCAAGAAGTCCTGAGTTCAAATCTAGACTTAGAAACTAGCTATGTGACCCTGGCAAGTCACATAATTTCTTTCTTTCTTTTTTTTTTTTTTTGGCTAGGCAGTGGGGTTAAGTGACTTGTCCAGGGTCACACAGCTAGTAAGTATCAAGTGTCTGAGGCTGGATTTGAACTTGGGTCCTCCTGACTCCAGGGCCAGTGCTCTATCCACTGCGCCACCTAACTACCCCAACTCACATAATTTCTGCCTGAGTTTCCAGAACTATAAAATAGGGATAGTAGCACTTATCTCTTAAGATTGTTGTGAGAATCAAATGGGATATTTATAAAGTGATTAGCACAATGCTGGGCACATAGTAGGCATTTAATAATGCTTATTCCCGATCTGGACCATTGCATGATACATAGAAATGATGGATTCTTGGTCGGGGGTGGAAAGGTTCCTGAATACCAGCTAATTTTTTTTTAAGGCAATTGGGGTTAAGTGACTTGCCCAGGGTCACACAGCTAGTCAGTGTCAAGTGTTTGGTCTGAGGCTGGATTTGAACTCAGGTCCTCCTGACTTCAGGGCCAGTGCTCTATCCACTTTGCCACCTAGCTGCCCCCAAGCTGATTTTTTAAAAAGTATCTTCTAGGAGGCTTAAAAATCTAATAAAAAAGCTTTAACCTGAAAAGGAAGCATCTTCAAACATATCTTCCTATCTAGATACTATTAAAGTAGTACATAAATCATAATACATGTGCTACTTATTATTAATTACTTATTAATAACTTATTATTATTAGTAACTATATGCATTGAAATATATACAAACAAAAATAGAAATCTGAAAAAGATGAGATAAAGATGAAATAGTATTTGATCCTAGACTTAATAGAGAGCCAGTGGAGTCTGAGAAGGGAAGT